TCTGCGAGGACAGATCTGCACGTTCCCCCCCCCCCAACAGCTAGCAATCCAAAACAGTCCAGTGGAGCCTGAGCGGTGGGTGTTGCCTTCTTCTGACACACTTCCCGTGATGTCAGGGGGTGTGGCATATGCAAATGTTATGCTAATGAGTTATGCTAATGAGCTCCTGCACCTCTTTTTCTACGAAATGACCCCTGCAACTAGGGTTGTCAACTCTGGGTTGGGAGATCCCTAGAGATTTGGGGGCAGGTGCCACAGCATTCACCCTCCAAAGCTGCCCTTTTCTCCTGCAGAACGGTAGTCTGGAGATCAGTTGCAATTCCGAGAGGTCACCAGACACGGAGCCTGGCAACCCTCTTTACAGCATCATTCTCCATGACATAAAGCATTCGAAAGCCAGTCTCTCAGATCCTATCCCTACATTCTAATCTGGTATTCTGCTTCGTGTTACTTCATCGTAAAATCAACTCTAGCAGAAGAAAACTATCCCATTTTCAAGCTTAAAACAGGGTAGTGGTTTTTTTAATCTTACAACCCGAAGAACTTATATCCCCCACCCACATGAAACACCATTATTTCAGGAAGATGCTCATCCTCAGATTTTGGCAAACCTCCTGGAATCAATAGTATTCATTTGAGGAACTGCAACCAAAAGTACTTCTCTGCACATCCTTGTATTCTTAAAGTGGCACATAGATGTTATGTTACATCCATGACACTGCTGGAGTATCTTAAGGATCGCACTGGACTGTGGGTGGTGGAAGGATGTCAGCTTTACAACTACTAGCACTCTTAATGAATCAGGAAATAAAACATGCAGCAAGTGAGGATGTTGGAAAGCCAACGAGATGCATCTTGAAGGACATTAGAACGTTCTGCATCCACAAAGGTGCACAGACTTTTTATAAGCCACAGAGTACATTACAGAACTCCAGGTCTGAGGTTACAGAGGCATGACTGATACCAAGTGAGAATACTGCAGCTAAGGCAGATGTGGAGTTGCTAGACCTCCAGAAGAATCCAGAAGCACTTCAAGGCTGAAAGCCTGTGACCAGGTGGCTTAGTTTGTGCTGGTTTAATGAGAGTTAGCAATATCTTATTGCTTATTTCTGTACAAATAATCATTACTATAACTATCGTATGACATTGTGTGTAGAATGGCCAAGAGATCCAAGGACTGCCTGGCAGCTGCAAGTTCTAGCTCTTAGCATTGTGCTAGTGATAAGCTAGACTTGTTTTTAGGGGTGGGAGAGCTCAGAGAGGACTGGCCCAAGGTCATCCAGCCAGCTTCATGTGGAGGAGTGGGGAATCGAACCCAGTTCTCCAGATTAGAGTCCGCTGTTCTTAACCACTACACCAAACTGGCTCTCACTGTACAAAATATACAATATAAAACTAGTTTCCAAGGCACTGGATGCATTATACTAAGGATTTAACTCTTTTTTTCCCCTCCCAGCCTTAGGTCAGCATGGCCTTTAGCAGAACTTCCATATTTAACTCTTTTTTCCCCCCTCCCAGGTCAGCATGGCCTTTAGCAGAACTTCCAGAGATAAAGTCCAAATCCTTCCCACAAGGTAAGTCACATCCTTTGGAAATGCAGGGATGAACGGTTTGAAAGCTTAATCACAATGCCGTCTGGGGCTATTTAGTCAACATTTAGCTATGCTTTTGCTTGAAGAAAAGCCACAATCGCCTGGAACAATGCAGCCCATCCCTAATCAAGGTTGAAGTCATCACACACCTTTTCTTTTTTGGAAAGCAGCCTCATATTGTCCTCTTATTTCTAGTTCTAGAAATATTTTCATATGGACAAGAAGCTCAAGTCCTTCAAAGCAAATCTTATTGGGGGGGGGCATCACTCAACCAAGCTTAGCAGCTCTGTTTAGGTTTGTGGACATGCAAACCCAGTAAGTCGTGGCTCTTCTTTGCCTGCTCCATTCTGATGTTTTCATCTCTCAAAGTATTGCAAAACCTAATTTTCCCAATGCGCAAGTAAAGCGTATTGAAATATATTTCTGGGGCTCACATTAGGACAAGCAGTGGTGCAAAAGTAGTAGTTGCAACTTCCGGTTTGCCTTGTCTGGGTGAGAGGGTCTAGGAGTGGACTCAGTTGTGTGACTAATGTTTGCAACATGTTGCAAGGAGATCTCAGAGCTGGATGCTCCTTTTTAGAGCAACTCTCCTACCCCAAGATATGAGTGAAGATTCTACCTCTAAGTATTCTGAACTATTTCAGAAAAACTATTTCATCTCTAAGTATAGTAAGCCGCCTTGAACAAAGAAGAAAGGAGGGGTATAAATGCTTTAATAAACGGGGGGGGGGAATATTCTGAATGCTTTCAGAAAAACAGTTTCAGTCCTAAGTATTCTGAATTATTTCAGGAAAAAAACTATTTTAGAAAGTATTCTGAATTAAACTGGACACGGGAATGCCAACACTTATGTCAATTGTGCTGCTTTGTGTTTTGATATCTGGGCACCATCATCGTCTATCCTTCACTGGTTCAAATGAGAGAAAGATCACACAAAAGTCATGATTGAAAGCTCTGATGCCTTCATGGAGCAAATGCTTCGTGAAACATGTGTGTGTTGGAGCCACTCTACATGCATCAGAGAGCAAATACTTCATGAGACACCATGTGTGTTGGAGCCACTCTACATGCATCAGGGTTGCTGAAAGTGCATCCAAAGACTTTCTTAGCCAGTGGTGTGATGATGGGAGATCGGCTTCTCTACAAATGATGTTTGATGTAATCAGTGGGCTCAGCTTCCCTCTCTCCCAATGCAGTAGGACAGCTGAGTAAAGTATAAAGCCATGCTGGTGGTTTATGCAATATACAACTAAGCCCATCCAGCATTTCACCCAAAGGAGCATCTGGGAAATTACCACCGGTACATCCAACAGTGGGCTCTTCTAAACTGCCCCACAATTCAAACGTGGCTACCATTCTCTCCATCACACAACACGAAAGTCATTCAAAGTGTACAGGGCAGGATTACAAACAGAACCAGCCATGGCTGTGTATGCCAAGGAAGATTTTTACACACGAAGGGGCTAAGTTAGAAGTGTCTGTCTGGTGCATTTCTTTATCCAACTTGACTTTATGCAACCTAGCACAAGCACACAACAATAATTTGGGCTGATAAAGACAGAATAAGGCCCTGAAGTGCTGCATGGTGTAGCTAGGAACCAAGAAGCCAGCCCAGCCCAAAGCTTTTTGGCTCCCTAGGCAAATGACATTGCTCCCCCACACACACCATGCTTTGGGGGAGCAGCCACTTCCTCCCCCCCCACACACACACAGAGAGGGAAAGGGTACATATTAAAATACTATCCAATAAATTTCTTTAATGCCAAGAAAGACTAAGTCACAACCATCACAACAGACATTTGCCACACAATTTGCAGCAGCAGGCTCACCATGGGCTGCCCACTGGAGCCAGGGGTACTGTTTGTGGCAGCTGCTTGTTGCAGCAGACCCCAACACTGTGGGTGGGTGCAACTAGACCAGTTTGGTGTCCCTCCACCTCCAGCGGCCTACGTGCATCTAATGGATAGGCTGGCCCTACCAAGAAGCCTAACTCTTGGAGGACATGTTCAGTACCTTTGATGGGTATTAAAAAGCTAAAAACTAAGCAAATGAAACAACACACACTCCTCACACTTAGTCTGAGGGTGACTTAACATAAGAATGAGAGTAAGCAGTGTTCAAAACAGTACCATCTTCTGGATAGCTACCACCATATTTTGATCCAGAGAGGTAACGTTATTAGGTTCAAACAAATAATTGACAGTCTAGTCCATCTGTTCTTTTTAAAAAATATAACGGGGGGGGGGGTCCCAATCTCACCATATAATACAATGAGGCACCATGTTAACTTTATTTCATAATCAACAGGACACACAGTACAAAGACTGATTAGTCTGTGAAATCAAATAATAAAGACAGTCCTGTTGATATGGAAAATTAACAGTGGAGCCTACCAGGGTGTGGTAACTCTGATTCAATGTACAACCTTAAATGTATTTAACAGGAGACTCTATCATACCTCTAAGCACACCAGAAGTTGCTTACCTTTAGTCCGTTTACCCCACTACTGTCCGGCCATGGCAGAGGAGACTGGCTCCTTTCTAACTGGCAATGTCTGGCATTGAAAGCCCCCCCTGCTTAACCACCCAGTCACATCCCATCCTGTAACAGGATTGGCCCTAACTTGGCAGCCTTTGCATCAACAGGTTGAGACTCCAACAGTCAAAACAGGACAGGCAGAGCCTCCCTGCAAGGGACAAGCCCTGCTAGTGGGATGTGGTGGGTGGCAAGACCCAACAAAAGCCGCGGAACCACATCTGCAGATATAAGAAATCCGCCCAAAGCAGCCTATGCACACAAAACTATGCACTGAAAAAACAAAGTCTTGGAAGCACTACTTTTGTTGGAATGATTCTATAGACCAGCAGGGCTACCTCAAGTTTTGATCTACCTGTTTTAGAGAAACTAAAGATTTGCGGCTGACCCCAAGGACCAGAAACGGATGGGTTGCTTGCACAACCAAGGCGGGGGGGACCCCAGGACTGCCAAAGTATCCCGGCCTGGTGTTCCCTTCCTTACTTGGAACTTCTTTGCGCTCAAACGACAAGAAGATCCTGCAAAGCGTCCTCGCGATATCCCCGCACGAGTAGCTTCCCCCAGCCGAGTTTGGTTCCGACCCCCTCGTCCGACTCCGAAACGGCCAAG